AGTTGAGTATCCTCACATCAACAACATTTATTTTACAGGATATGGATAAGAAGTGGATGACTTTATGTCTGGGTACAAGTGACAGGATGAACAACCCAGCGGGTTTTCTTCCTATTGGGGAGTGTTGTACATGCTGCTATGGCGGTATGTCCACTCACAGGATGAGTGGCGCTGCCCAATACTGTCACTATGGCGGTATGTCCACTCACAAGATGAGTGGCGCTGCCCAATAAACTCGCCCCTCGGGGCAAAATTAAAAAAAAAATTAAATTTAAGGCGGCGCGGGGTTCATGAGGAGGGCCGATCACAGGTAAACATGGAGGCCTCTGCCTCACCACAATACCGATAAATAGCTATATTAGTTTTGTGTTCATTAACTGGCCAACTCTGAAACTGCCTCTCCACTGTAATCATTCTGATAAACGGTTACATTTACTTTGTGGAGAAATTAGACTAACATCACACAACATAAAAATCTTGGAAATAGTGCTAAGGAGTAAGATCACGAATCACATGGATTTACAACCTCTGATAACCGGACAAGACGGGTTCAGAACAGGGTGCTCCTGCCTCTCACAGTTGCTACATCACTATGACATATATTCCCTGGAAACACAAACCGAAACTGTCTCTATTTTCCGCTTGTTACAACTTGTAATAAAGTGTTACATCTTGGCTAAACGTGTTTATGACGTACTAGAACGTTGTTACATCTTGCTATATTGGTTGTTAGAACTGGTTAGGAGGTGTTAAAACTTGTTCGAACGTTGTACTAACGTCGTAGTTTCGGTGTGTGTTGGCGGGGATATGGCCGTGGAAGACAAAAGCAAAACGTAGCTGTAATATTCACAGACTTTGCAAAAGCTTTTGACAAATGTGCCCAAGGTGTTATTGCACACAAAATACACAAAAAAGGATTTACTGGCAAAATAGAGAGATGGATCTTTAACTTACTATAATCACACTATAGACCGAAAATACAATGCAAAGGATCTAAGAGTAAACATGTCAGATGATCTTACCTTTAAAAAACTCAATAAAGTAGCTGTCACAACTGCAAGAAAAATTACATTTTGGATAAAAAGAACCTTTCAAACAAGGGGGACGCCATACCAATGTTGATACTTTTCAAGACACTAGTGCTCTCTGCGGCTGAATATTGTTACACAATGACAACCCCCATTCAAAGTTGGATAAATTGGTGACCAGGAGAACGTGCAAAGATCCTTTAGTACTCGAAACCACTCTATAAAACATCTAAATTATTGGGACCAAGTAAAAATTGTAAATCTGTATTCTCTAGAACACAGGCGATAGAGATGCATAATAATTTACACATGGGAAATATTAGAAAGACTGGCTCCGAATCTACACACAGAAATAACACCAAACGAGACCAGAAGGCATGGCAGGATGTGCAGAATACCCCCGTTGAAGAGCACAAGTGCAATAGGTAGTCTGAAAGAGAACTCTATCAACATCAGAGGCCCGAGACTGTTCAACACTCTCTCTCTACTGGGCGGCCTCTGTCAGTGTTCAAGGGAGAACTTGATAAACACCTCCAAAGGATATTTGATCAACCAGGCTGTGAGTCATACGTCGGGCTGCGAGCAGCCGCGTCCTGGTTGACCAGTCCAGCAACCAGGAGGTCTAGTCAGAGACCGGGCCGCGGAGACGTTGATCCTGGGTAGCCACAAGGTAGAGACCGTCCCTCTGGACGCGGGTATCTTAAAACACTAATTATTTCCAATATTTGCTGTCAAAATTGATGTTACTATGTTAGAATACAAAAATTGTCGTGTGATAAGCAATGAAAGAGTTGAGCATGACAAGTTTCTACTGAAGTTAGCGGATCCACCAGGCTGTGGCGGCCGTGTGGGCCTGCGGGCTACACAGACCAGGCAATCGCCAGGAAAGGCTGGCGACGGGCCCAGGCTGCCCGAGTGCAACACGTCTCCAAATCATCAACAATAACTCACACCACTTAAACAATCACTACTCATTCGCACCCAAACACTCAAACAAATTTTTCATTAACTTATACTAACACTCGGAGACTCACACTGCTGACTCCAGCAAACAGTCCCGAGTCTCACTGACGCTGAACACTTATCTAATGGGAGCTTCTCAGCACACATTGTCTACACTTCCATACTGTGAGTGACTGTTCTCCACCACAGTTGTGAGTGTTCTGCGTCACAGTTGTGACTGGGGTGAAAGTTCTGGACAGAAGGGTCTTGTTAGGGGTGCTAGGAGTGCTAAGGGTCGAACCCCGTGGTTCGCTATACACCCCCCAGGCGAGCAGGGGGACCGACCCCCCAGGCGAACAGGGGGGACCGATCCCCTCCAGGCGAACAGGGGGACCGACCCCCCCCCCTCCCAGGTTTGAACCTTGGGACCTTGGGTTCATCTGGGTCTGTACTCTGCGTTTCTTTGTTGATATAATTTTTTTTTTTTTTAATTTTGGTTGGGAATATGACCATGGCTCTGAACTATGGGTCTGAATTATGAATTTGACTTGTGGATCTGTATTGTGATTTTGTAATTGCTGATTGTTTGTGGCTTTGAATTTGCATGGTGGGTTTGGTCTATGTATTTAAGTTTAGACAGTGGATTGTTACTTTAGCAATGGATTGTGAATTGTAATTTAGATTGTGATATTAGGATTTAGACTTGATTGTGGGGTTTAAAACCGACAGAATTAATAGAATGTAATGTAACAGAATTTCAGCTTTTAATATTTACTGGAAATTTGGAAGAGGTGGGGCTGAGGGAGGAGGATTTTATGAGGGGGGGGGAGTCATGGTAGGGAAGGTAAGGGGGGATTGGGGGATATAGGGGGGGGGATTGGAGGAAGTCTTAAAACACGGTCTTGATTAGGTCACACTTCACCTCGCTACGTCTAAGCGACGGACTTTGGTTGTTTGCCTGTCTCCTGCCGTCACGTGGAGACTCGGGATGACGGGTGTTCTGTCTGGCTGTCTGCTAGCTTGTCTGTCTCTGTATATTTGTATCATTTTTCTGTCAGTTAGTGAATTTGTCTCAACCTTTCAGTCAGTCTTTCAGACTGTGTTCTTCAGCATGTGAGTCCCAGCTTGTCTGTTTGGCTTTTCTCCAGCCTGACTCTCACAACCTGTCTGTCTGCTCCCCCAGGCTGTCTGTCTCCTCCCCCAGGCTGTCTGTCTCCTCCCCCCAGGCTGTCTGTCTCCTCCCCCCAGGCTTGGCGATTTCCTATGACACGTACTTGTTGGGAGGCGGGACCAAAGAGCCAAAGCTCAACCCCCCGCAAGCACAACTAGACGAGTACTTCCACTCCTCATACCTCAGCATACCTGATATACAGCAATACACACTATACAGTTACTAAGTTCTACGCTTAAACGAAAGAGTACAGGAAAAAAAACTAAATTTGATTATACTGTCAGAGAGGAGGAGTGTAGTACACTCACAGAAGCTGTCGTTGCTCAGGACTAGCAGATAATACACATAACCTACAGAGCAGCAGCAGCACCAGCAGCAGCAGCACCAGCAGCACCAGCAGCAGCAGCAGCACCAGCATCAGCAGCACCAGCACGAGAAGCAGCAGCAGCACCAGCAGCAGAAGCAGCAGCAGCACCAGCAGCAGCATCACCAGCAGCAGCAGCACCACCACCACCAACAGCAGCACCAGCACGACCAACAGCAGCAGCAGCACCAGCACCACCAACAGCAGCACCAGCACGAGAAGCAGCAGCAGCACCAGCAGTAGAAGCAGCAGCAGAAGCAGCAGCAGCAGCAGCACCAGCAGCAGCATCACCACCACCAAAACCACCAGCAGCAGCACCACCACCACCAACAGCAGCACCAGCACGAGAAACAGCAGCAGCACCAGCAGCAGAAGCAGCAGCAGTAGAAGCAGCACCAGCAGGTCGGGTAGCTACAACCTTCAGTGTGATCATAGGCCCACGAAGATGTGACTTGTAGCACCAGTTGGACCTCTGACAACACAAGGCAGCTCCCGTTAATTCCGGGGGTCGTGGTCCTCAAGGTTGACGGTGGAGGAGAAGCCTGACCATGATGGAGGACCTCGCCACCAGCGCCACAACGGTGCTCCAGACACTATATGCCACTACCTGCAGCCCGCTGCCAGGACGAGGGTGTGGAACACCTATCTTGAGGTTATCTTGAGATGATTTCGGGGCTTTAGTGTCCCCGCGGCCCGGTCCTCGACCAGGCCTCCACCCCCAGGAAGCAGCCCGTGACAGCTGATTAACTCCCAGGTACCTATTTACTGCTAGGTAACAGGGGCATTCAGGGTGAAATAAACTTTGCCCATTTGTTTCTGCCTCGTGCGGGAATCGAACCCGCGCCACAGAATTACGAGTCCTGCGCGCTATCCACCAGGCTACGAGGCCCCCTCTAAACAGTTTGGAAACCTGTAAACAGTTTGGAAATGTAAGTTAGGATGCTTGATGGACCCTGGTACTGTATAGCAGTCCAAGATGGCACTGTTCACCTCTCTTTCAGGGGTCACAATTATCCCCGAGAGGCTGCAAAGGTGTATTTATGCCAGAATGTCTTAATGTATGAGTTAAAATCATGTTTCATTTGAATTATCGTGTTTTATTATAGGCACGTGAGATGGCTTACGACAGACCTGTGACGTCACTGCCATCTTCACCACAGAGTATGCTAGCAGACATGCCACAGAGTATGCTAAGACATGCAGCAGAGTATGCTAAGACATGCAGCAGAGTATGCTAAGACATGCAGCAGAGTATGCTAAGACATGCAGCAGAGTATGCTAAGACATGCAACAGAGTATGCTAGCAGACATGCAGCAGAGTATGCTAGCAGACATGCAACAGAGTATGCTAGCAGACATGCAACAGAGTATGCTAGCAGACATGCAACAGAGTATGCTAAGACATGCAACAGAGTATGCTAGCAGACATGCAACAGAGTATGCTAAGACATGCAACAGAGTATGCTAGCAGACATGCAACAGAGTATGCTAAGACATGCAACAGAGTATGCTAGCAGACATGCAACAGAGTATGCTAGCAGACATGCAGCAGAGTATGCTAGCAGACATGCAGCAGAGTATGCTAGCAGACATGCAACAGAGTATGCTAGCAGACATGCAGCAGAGTATGCTAGCAGACATGCAGCAGAGTATGCTAGCAGACATGCAACAGAGTATGCTAAGATATGCAACAGAGTATGCTAAGATATGCAGCAGAGTATGCTAAGACATGCAGCAGAGTATGCTAAGACATGCAGCAGAGTATGCTAAGACATGCAACAGAGTATGCTAAGACATGCAGCAGAGTATGCTAAGACATGCAACAGAATATGCTAAGACATGCAACAGAATATGTTAAGACATGCAACAGAGTATGCTAAGACATGCAACAGAGTATGCTAAGATATGCAACAGAATATGCTAAGACATGCAACAGAATATGCTAAGACATGCAACAGAATATGCTAAGACATGCAACAGAATATGCTAAGACATGCAACAGAGTATGCTAAGACATGCAACAGAGTATGCTAAGACATGCAACAGAATATGCTAAGACATGCAGCAGAGTATGCTAAGACATGCAACAGAGTATGCTAAGACATGCAACAGAGTATGCTAAGACATGCAACAGAGTATGCTAAGACATGCAACAGAGTATGCTAAGACATGCAACAGAGTATGCTAAGACATGCAACAGAGTATGCTAGCAAACAGGGGAAAAAAATCATGCAAGTTCACCTAGGTGAGAGTACACACACACCCTCTACACTCCCCCCCCCCCGCCCTCTACACCCCAGTTGAGCCCTGCCTGAGAGCGGGCTCTATATATACAGGTGGTGTAGCTGAGGCTGGAGCATCACGTCTCTCACTCACAGCTCTGCAGCACTTCCTCTCCTCTCATCTCTGAGAATGAATGGCAAGTTTCTTCGGTCTCTGTCTCGCTGTCTGTCTGCCTGTCTGTCTGGCCTTGTCGTGGTGGGGAAGGGGGGGTGATGTTGGGTAGTTTGCAAGGTTGGTTACTTCTACATATGTAACCTACCTGTAACCTACCAATTTAGTGATGCATATATAAATATTCACGAAGTTATAGCCAAAAAAATAAAGTTTGTGTATTTGCATAAAAATCGCAGGGTACCTGGTGAACACAAATTCTGTACATGCAATATTGCTTGCTTGTGTGAGGGCGCTGAGTCAGCAGGCGCTACACATAGCGGCTGAGGCAGCAGGCGCTACACATAGCGGCTGAGGCAGCAGGCGCTACACATAGCGGCTGGGGCAGCCAGCAAGCGCTACACATAGCGGCTGAGGCAGCCAGCAGGCGCTACACATAGCGGCTGAGTCAGCAGGCGCTACACATAGCGGCTGGGGCAGCCAGCAGGCGCTACACATAGCGGCTAGGGCAGCCAGCAGGCGCTACACATAGCGGCTGGGGCAGCCAACAGGCGCTACACATAGCGGCTAGGGCAGCCAGCAGGCGCTACACATAGCGGCTGGGGCAGCCAGCAGGCGCTACACATAGCGACTGAGGCAGCAGGCGCTACACATAGCGACTGAGGCAGCCAGCAGGCGCTACACATAGCGACTGAGGCAGCCAGCAGGCGCTACACATAGCGACTGAGGCAGCAGGCGCTACACATAGCGGCTGGGGCAGCCAGCAGGCGCTACACATAGCGACTGGGGCAGCCAGCAGGCGCTACACATAGCGACTGAGGCAGCCAGCAGGCGCTACACATAGCGGCTGAGGCAGCCAGCAGGCGCTACACATAGCGACTGACGCAGCCAGCAGGCGCTACACATTAGCGACTGACGCAGCCAGCAGGCGCTACACATTAGCGACTGACGCAGCCAGCAGGCGCTACACATAGCGGCTAAGGCAGCCAGCAGACGCTACACATAGCGGCTGACGCAGCCCCAACTCATTCCTGTTCTATTTTCCCACAGTGTTTATATAGCCATCATGGCTTAAAACTTTCGTTTGTTAAATAATTACGTCTGTCTGATTAACTTGTAGCACCATACCGTACTGGATGAGTCAGGATGTGGGGTGTGGGAGTGTGGGTGGTGGGAGAGCAGGTGTGGGAGTGTGGGTGATGAGAGAGCAGGTATGGGAAGTGTGGGGGCGTGAAGTCTCCCACCCCCCACATGACCTGGCGACATGATATATTTATCCTGGTAATGTTTACAGTGACGAGATGGAGTGGTGACCGTCGCTACAGCCTCCTCGGCCAGTCTCCTGGTTGCTAGCAACATGTTGCGACTTGCACCGAGGCTTGAGGTGTTCAACATTACTATATAAAGCTCCCGCAACGGACACGGGGGTTACCCACTCTCTGAATAACATTATTATCCTTCAGGCATATATTCCAATGTATTTACAATAGATCTCTAATTGTCTCTACAAGACAATCGACTTGATAATGATCCAAGACGGACCGAAACGTCGTCGTCTTATCTTCTGGTGTGAGGATTAAAGTCTTCAGATCTCTACTAAGATACCCTTAGCAATAAAATACTCGTGTACAATGAGATCAATACAAAATTGTACAATGAGTACAAAAACGATCAATACGAACAGGCCCACAAGGGCCGTGACTAGGATTCGAACCTGCGTCCGAGAGCATCCCAGACGCTGCCTTAATCGACTGAGCTACGACATGGTCAAAAGGGGTTGGAAACCGAAGTTCTACTGAACTTACTGGTGAATATGAAGAGATGGGATAGGAAGGGATATGGGATATGAAGAGCGACTGAAGGAACTGAACCTTACGACACAAGAAAAAAGAAGGGAGAGGGGGGGGGCGGGATATAATAAAAACGTATAAAATACTCAGGGGAATTGACAGAGTGGACATAGACGAAATGTTCACACGGAATAGTAACAGAACGAGGGGACATGGGTGGAATCTGGAAACTCAGATGAGTCACAGAGATGTTAGGAAGTTTTCTTTTAGCGTGAGAGCAGTGGAAAAACGGAATGCACTTAAGGAACAGGTTGTGGAAGCAAACGCTACTCATAATTTTAAAATTGGATATGACAAGGAAATAGGACAGGAGTCATTGCTGTAAACAACAGGTGGCTAGAAAGGCGGGATCCGAGAGCCACTGCTCGATCCTGCAGGCACAAATAGGTGAGCACCCACCCACCCACACACACGGGACGAGACGGGACGGGACACCACGAGCGTAGCTCTCATCCTGTAACTACACTTAGGTAATTACACAGGAATCTTCACACCGATTCATAGGCGGGACCATAGAGCCAAAGTTCAACTCCCCCCCCCCCCCCCGAAGCACAATTAGGTGAATACACCCAAACAAATCTACCCACACATAAGCTGTCAACCACACTATCATGTCAACCAAAACATTTCCTCCAATTCAGCACTAGAAGACTCGAAGCGCCGAGTCCATGGTGTAAGGCGGAAGCTCTACCACTGAACTATCTCGAACCAGCTAGTTCAGAACAGCTGTGGGGGTCGGCGTTTCGAGCCTGCCAGTGCCTGAGTGAAGGACATACTCACACACACACACACACTCACACACACACACACACACACACACTCACACCCACCCACACACACACACACACACACACACACACTCACACACACACACACACACACACACACACACACACACACACACACACACACATACACATACACATACACACACACACACACACACACACACACACACACACACACACTACACACACACACACCACACACACACACATACACACACACACACACACACACACGCCTTTGACCAAAGAGCCAGAGCTCAACAAGCACAATTAGGTGAGTACACACACACACACACACACACACACACATACACATGTATACAACTGTGACTTCCTCAGCCAGCGGACAAACATCTACAGTGTGAACACAATGGCTTCAGGGGAGACCAAAGAAGCTCCCGTATAACAACCTCTGTGACATCGTGTTGAACCAATAACAGTGAACACCTGTACCCCCCAGTCACCTGTTTTAGCAGGTGTACCCACACGTGTACGCCACACACACACACTGCCACATGCTAACTATACCATGAATCAGACTACCTCTCAAGACGAGTGACTCGGGCCTGGAGAGAGAGAGAGAGAGAGAGAGAGAGAGAGAGAGAGAGAGAGAGAGAGAGAGAGAGAGAGAGAGAGAGCGGACGCAGTTCCTCTTATATCACCAAACATTTGCCATCATAGCCGAGTGTGTACTCACCTAGAGGTGCTTGTAGGGTCGAGCTATGCTCCTGGTCCCGCCTTCCAAACGTTCTGAGATTAATTAACGCATTCAACTCATTCCTCACGCCTTTATCGTACTTACATTTACTTTCTTTTAATGGAATTAGCTTCATTGACCCCTGCATGTAACCTATTTCATTTATTGTGTGTATCCTGTGTGTGTGTGTGTGTGTGTGTGTGTGTGTGTGTGTGTGTGTGTGTGTGTGTGTGTGTGTGTGTGTGTGTGTGTGTGTGTGTTGTGTGAGTGTGTGAAAATAACTTATATACTGTTCAACTACATTAAATAAAACGCCAAACAATTCACACCGCTTAAACTCGCTCATAACTACTCCCAGGAACGGTGGCAAGAGACATCATAATGTAAATTAGGAAAACATTAGAGTGAGAGGTGGAAGACTGAGTTAACTAACATCTCACGAACACCTCCGAAGGATGCACCATCAACCGGGTCGTGGTTCAGACGTCAGACTGCTTGCAGCGGTGTCTAACCGCCTGGTTATACACTCTGCTGCTGGCCCCTCCGCTGGTATACCCCAGCAGATGCCCCCACACCAGCCGAGGACAACCACCCTCCTTCAGTGTAATATCCGTTCCAGCACCCTCGACTCTGGCTGAGTAGTGGGTCCTCCGGATCTCCCCGGGGCTCGACTCTTGCCTCTCCACATTAATATTATCACCAAACTACATATGGCAGTATTCTCCACTTGCCCCGTCCTGAGAGGCACGACATTTCCTCTCACAATTGGTCGCTCAATCTCAACTGTATTTTAATACTTGTTCTTGTTATATATATAAGGTTTATAAAGTGTGACTTCCACGCTACAGTGATTTATTCCATTATAATAAATTCGTTTGAGTGAGGATTGTTTGGGCTTGGGAGCTCGGTGATGATGCTGTGTCTCATCTCATCTCCGTCTCCAG